ACATAAGAGAAGACATAGTTGAACGTTTTTAAATGTTACCTTTATTTGACATTGAAACTAATAAATGAAGTCTTCATCACGTTGCCAATACTTCGATTGATAAGTAAGGATTTGATTTATACTCAGACAAAAGAGCTCGAATAACATATTCCTGATTTGTTGAGTAATTAAAATATAATTTGACATTTCTTTGAATTGACCGTCAAAGTTAAATAATTGAAATAAACTTATTTTTATATTTGTTATTAATTTACAGATTTTATTCATACTCATAGTACTAATGTATTTCCGATTGTGTTAAATGGTTGTTTAGCCATAATAGGTACTATTACAAACCGTTTGACCATTATATCATTGTAAATAGTTTGCTATAAAAATACCGAGTGTATCGACAAGGCAGGAGTCTGATTAACATGAGTCTACCATCGACAGCACAGCGTCAGGTCCGTTTGTACCTTTACCATCTGGACCTATCGTTTGACCTTCGTCGTTCAGGAAGTTGAGTTGTTGTAGGATGTCATACAGTCCGGATTTAAAAAGTATATTGGGCCAATCTTGTGAGAACATAAGAGAGGCAAACTGACATTCTGACTGAAGAGAAAAACTTTTCTTCAATGTCACGTGTGGCAACGCTACGCCGTATACCCTCATTACCTTTAAAATAACAAAATAAATAGATCCATAGTTTAACATCAATTAAAGTGACATTATGCCTATCCAAGTATAAATGGTGGGTGAAAAGGTCAAAGTCAAAACAACTTGAGATTTTTTCATAATATGTTTCAATTTTAAATTATAGATAATAGTCTATCTGAATGATAAATAACCCACATGAATCACAAAAATTTCTATAGATATCCTTCGGAATATGTCGTTAATGCTGCGTTGATTAAAAGATTGGAGCAGGCCTTTTATATTGCAGGCAATTTATCATATTTTATCCTTTGGCAATTTTCATAATAAACTATTGTTCAATGGCCTTTATAATAGTCAATCATTTTAAACATATAATCAAATGAACTCAACCAGACAGATTGAACGTAATGTACCTTGAAGATAAATGTAAAAACAGCGTATTTGAACCTTATTAAAGCAACGATCTTTATAATAACGGTTATAAAAAATATGATTTCACCTGAATAGGTAACATAATACTAGTTTATGATTTTCAATTTTTTAATGAATGGAGACATAGGCACAATTTTCATTTGTACGATTTGATTTTTTCTTTCAATATTCTATAAATGTCCTCGAAATGAAAACACTTAGCAGTCATAGGGACACAACTTTTCTCTTTATAAAGAATAAAATGGTGGTTTCCCAATTTGACCAACGTGGGTCAGGTCAAAACATTTTGACTACAAAATAGTTGTCATAGAGAACTATGAAAACGGTAATGTATCTGTCAAATGACTGACTAACAATATCCAGAATATCTGAAATTATAATTTCCAGAGGGTATTCCAGTTATATGATTTGTTTTAAAGCTACACCGTGACTCAGTTGGCGTCTTAATTTCGTTTAATATATGAAAAAATAATTACACTTCAAACTCAAAATATATAGTATTTATATGACTTTAAATAATGACATTTTAGCATGATTTGAGAAAATAACATCAATTTACTATTTTTGCCATTCATTTGTCTAGGTATCGCTGTAATTAATTCTATAAAAATGTACTTTATAGATAATTACTTCAAACTCCTCCTCTATCTTATAAACGTTCCTCAAAATTCCGACGAAGGTTAACATTAGAAACTTCAATAAGTTCCCACGATAAAAAGCTTTCCCGTGTTAACATACATTGTGTTTACGAAAGAAGAGTGACGTCATTTAAATCGCTGTAGTGCATATTTATTGGCGTGTCATTAAGTACGTTTTTCTCGCGTCGTACGTCATATATATACATACAGATTTGATTTTTGTTTTTGATTAAATTGGTTTTGATATATCTGTATGTATAATAAATGCTGCTGAGGAAGGCCGCAAGGCCGAAAGCTATGGCAAATATAAAATCTTATGTCCTGGTTACATAAATTCTTTGCAAACTTAGGCGAATTTCTATTGCATACAACGGTGGTGGGGGCAAGTGATTTAAAGTCAATAACCTTAACCACTCGGCCACGGACGCCCCTCTTCTGCGTTCGGCATATTTGAATTAAGTTTGATAAAGAAAGAAAAAGGAAAATAGTACTTTCTGTTTACGCAAATAGATCATTATAGTAAAGAAAAGGTAAAATGAAAGCGTGTGTCCTTTATGTTTAGAGCATGTTCAATTAAGTAAGGACATTGATTTGCACAATTAAGAATTTTCTTTTGTGTCGACGGTTAGATGCTTATGTATATTAACTTACTTTGTATGTATCCGACATTTAAAATTATTTACAAAATGTCTTTGTTGATAACGAGATAAATATTCTAATCACTGCGTATTTGTATTCATAAGTTTAAATTACAAAAAAAACTATCCAGCATATTTTCTTCTTTTATCCCAAGGCAATTTTTCAATAACATGTTAAGTTTTTAGATAGATATGATATTGTTTATTTATTATACGACCATAGATAGTGTTGTAGTATTAGTGATTATCACACAAACAAATAACAGTCAATGATTAACTTTTTCTAAAAATGGACCAGAGTTTTTAACGAAGTAAATATAAAATACAGAACACACATGGAACAATTTTGTTTATCAATTATATAAAAAAAATTACGAAACCCATCTTTACAATAATGGTAAATAATTTAGAACGTATATATTGAACAAAGTATTGATTTTGTAGGTTTTTTTAATATCTATTTATCAAACTGTGAATTAACATGTCCTGTCGTAATACACAGCGACTGATACATGTTTACTTAAAAAAATCGAAGTTAAGGCACAAGTTATGAATACGTTATGGATAGAACCAGTTGATATTATAATTAACTTAAGTCTATGACGAGAAGATCATGATCAATATTTCTTAATATTTCAATGTTAAGTCTTATTTAAAGTTTAGCGTTTCAAAGCTTTAAATGTTTGTCAGATCTCTAGATATTGTTCATTCTTTTAAGAATTTTAAGAGATTATTTCTCCCGCGTAGTAATGTGACGAAAAGCAACAACTTTGTTCCCTGATGACATCTTGCCACTATTACGTTGGACTATTATTTATGTGGTGCTACAGTAAAATGCTGATGGTGACATTTTAAATACTGTAGAGCCTCTTTTCTGATAGAAAACATGATTCATGTCAGAAGAACAATCGTCACATTTTCATTCTAAAAAAATGTCAATAAAAAACAACTAATCTGTGCAATACTGTAAAGGTGATAGAGTTATATTTAACAATAAGTTCGGATAGGAAGTTTGAAATACAGTACAGGTGGGTACAGGAATAATCAGGTATAATACTTCTCTGACTACAGAAAATAGAACATGAATGTATACCTATTTAGACTTTAACAAAAAATGAATTGTTTCACTTTAAGTTAACTAAATGGCTATTTTGTTCTATATGAATTAATTAAAACATGTTTAATCTTGAAAAATTCTTCTTTTAAACAATAGAAAGAAAACGATCAATATCTAAATACGTGTACATGTATATGCAATTGACCTTTACATAGAAAAAACACTTTGCATATAAAATAATTCCTGTATATCGTGCAATATGTAGTTGAACTCGAGGGCCCATTATTCCCCGACATTTCAATATGTTTATTTCTCAAAAACGTTTAATGTTGGTTATATAGTACAAGTTTTCACTTAGATACGGATTGGTCGTAAAAAATGTAAAATCCTTTGATATTTCGCTCCTTGGAAATTTGAAAAAACTTTGTAATGATCTAAAAGTTCGTAAGGAACTAAAAGTATACATGTATTTTTTTTTAAGTTTTTGAACTAACCACAAAAACAGTTACTGCATGTTCAGCGCTATTTGTGTAGCTTTGTTATATCTGGAATGCTCTAAATCCATTTTCGAAACATTGATAAACCCATCTTTGTTCTTTTTAACTTTGATTGTTTTATCCAAAATGTAGCATTAATTTTAATGTAGATACCAAAATAAATAAATACTTTCAACAATGATTAACAAGTTGGTACATTGACATTATTTAAATTATCAATTTAAGTCAGCTAAGTTTTGTCACACCAGTAAATCTTAAATTGTAAGTTCAGATAAAGCTTCCAATATATATCAAATCTGAAAATTTAGTAAACTGCTTTTGTTAAAATCTATTTTGTCTACTGACTTAACATAAATAAAAGAACAAACAAACAGTCAAGCAAACAAACAAACAATCAAACAAACAAACATAAGAATAAACATGAATCAAAGTGTGTTTATTCTCTCTGCTTCTCTGTTTTAGAAGTTTTTTTTTAAAGCTTTATGATATGCCGCTGTGTGACTGCTTTGTTATACTGAAGCATTTAGCTACATTTTATGATCACATATTATTATGTGTCGAATTCTGTTTTTATTAAGCATTATTGAACATTTTTATAAGATATTGATTTAATCTAATATTGCTATCTATTATAAGTTATTAATCACGCATCAATCAAATTGTGGTATTTAACGTACACACTAAATGTTTTTTTTATTGTTTTTCTTTGTTTACAACAGGATCAGATAAGGTAAAGACATTTTTGTTTTGAATATTACAACTCCGGATAAATCTCTCACCCACACCCTTCCCCATTTACGTATAGATCTACCTGTTATGTGACGCGCTACTTACATGTTATAATTAAGCGCGCTTAAATACTTAAAATTTGGTCTGGTATGATTTTCATTCAAGGCCTAAAGTATTTACGAAATAGCTTGGTGTCTTTTCAGATCTATCGACTGATCTTATATGTAGAGCAATCCTATCATTTATGTTTTACTGAAACACATGTTTTTACTTGTTCAATTTCTTACTACCCAATGATTGGACGTTTGATGTACCGCAAAGTCACGTGGTAGTTTTACATTCAATTCGCTCTGAAATCCAATATGGATAATCAATAAAGTGTATCAAAAATATGTAAATATAAAGTTACAAATACATTTTTCATAAGCCATTACATTGGAGATATGTCAAGATGGCCGAAGAAAGTCCGGGATAAACATTTTAACACATAAGAACAACTTGCGGTAAGTTTTAAGTAATTATGTCTCATTATTATACACATTTTGTGATTAGGAAAATGTAGATCTATGTAATGTGCATACTAAAGCCTAAGGCGGTCTTTATTCATACCGGCTATATGTTTTGTTGTGTGATGGTTTGGTTGACAAACATTTGTTTATTACATTATACTAGTAAATATCACATCATATTCAAATGCTTACTAGTTAATGATTTTTAGTAAATAAAAAGTATTAATGTTAAAAAATATTAATTGCTAGAATTGTATATATTATTAATTGATATAAGTCAGTTGATTTCTTTGAATGAGTAGACGTAATTTTTCAATTATCGTACAAATTCACATACATTGATTATTGCTTTTATTAAATATTTATCGGGAGGATATTTGATGTAAATATTTTTCATGAAGATTAAGTCTACCTCTGTTCACAATCGAAAAACAAAACGAACACTGCTCTTTCAAATGGTATTCTGAGTAGTAATAAGAATTTAAACTAAATTATTTAGCTAAGAGATATTCTACTTAATTATAATTGAAGAGGACAGTTCGTTACATATCAACATCTTCGGAGCAAAACCCTTTGGAAGACAACGATTAAGTTGTTCTTGACATTCTTTTACTTGGGGACCATACGCCGCTTTTCATAGAATGGCACTCCTGTGTCACATTGAAGGTTCCATGAAAACCACCGTATGAACACATCTGCGGATGTTTCTTAATTCAAAATTTTACCACTTTCGTGTTAAATGTTGAATTCGGCTTAAGCCGGTGCTAGGGGGCGTGGACGGTAACTTGCACTTTCCTGTACCATCCATGAACAGGCTCAATCAAACCGAGCCTGCATCATTTTCAATTTTGTTGTGTTGGATTTTCTTTAGGGATTCTGTTTTTCTTTATTTTGCTCTACTGATGTTAATAAAATTGAAACAAAATTTACTTTTGGAAGGTTAGAAGAAGTGTTTTCTTTACAGTAGACCATTTTGCAAAGGTTATAAAGTATTTTAAATTGTCAACGAATATTTGACTACTTTTGCATACATACCATTGATAATTTTAGATATCTGCCTTAATATGTTTAACTGCTTAATCAAATTAAAGATTTACTGATTTTTCCTATTTATTTCCCCTTAAAAGTTTAACTTTCTTGTCAACATATCGGCCAATAGAGTTTATTATCTTAGGATGTTGATGTTTACTTACTGTTTCAAAATGTATTTTATTATTGAATACTTACCACAAATTAAGAACACCGTCATACCCTTTCTGTGTCAAGGTTTTATATCAAATTAACTATTCGTCATTTAAAGTGATTTCATATCAAATATTTCCTTTGTATAAAACTCATTCATGTATATTCGCACAAGAAGACTTATCAAAGAACGTTATATCAAGATAACATCATTCTTTTATAAATTAATCTCAGTTACCTCAATTCTAAATGAAAATTATCATCTATCTTAAATATATCTTTTTCATGTCATTTAAAAGAATTCAATAAAGAAAAGTTATTTATTTTCTTTAAATGCATTAATTTTCTATGATATATTGAACTTATTTTCAAATTATTATAGCTGTTTAACTTGTCACTGTTTTAGTTCGAACAAATATAGATATAAGTTAATACATGTAATAAACTATATTTTTTGATTACATCTCAAGATTATATCTAATACCATAAATTAGGTTTTAATTTTTGAATAATTGATGTATTTTTTTGTTATTAATTTTAACCTGTTTTATCGACATTCATTCGACTGGTACAATCTCTTGGAGCCGTTAATCTAGATAATGAAGTTTCAGACATGGAACTTACATAAAATGTATATATGTTTTCTGTTTGGTGGCCAAATTTTATCTGTTTCCAATCACACTACAGCGATAAATATCTTTGTGAATAAGCTCTATTTATTATTTGATAATGAACTGTAAAATATGTCCTAGCTCTATGAAAAACCCTTAATCAGGCGTACAATGAATGATACAAGGTTATCTTAACGAGTTTTGGTAGAAATTCGATATAGTTGTTTTGTATGTCTGCAAACTTTAGTCATTTAACAAAAAGAAAATTACGATATAAATATTTTGCATTTTTCATTTTTAAAAAAAAAAAAACGTAAGACTATTTTTAATAAATTTTCTATTTTTATAAAAAACCCGGTAAACAAATGTAAAATAAATACCCGGCGTTTTTTCCATCTTTTACTCGGAAAAAAAGGGTTTTAAACAAAGGGGATTTGGGGTAGAGTTTTTTTAGTTAAATTTAATAAAAAGGTTGGATGAGAGATGGAAGAGAATGTTAGCATAACTTAAAATAATGCTTAGTACGTACCATTTGTTTGAACGTTAACAAAAAATAAAATGCTTAAAACAGTCATGTGTGTTAGATGTTAACAATGGGAGTAGGGTGATTTATAGAAGATGAGGGAAATAGGAATAGAACAGACGGGGGGAAAAAACTGCTTAGGCGGGGGAAAGGGTTTAAAAAAAGATGAAAATTCTGCTTAAGAGTGGGTTAGATTGGTAAGATCTTAACTTAGACCAGGTATACTGCTTAAAGTGGTGCTTAGGTGGATGGTACTTGATAGCAAATACTTAATGAATTGCTTTAGATGGTTCTATAGGTTTGTGAGAAATGGTAACAAAATATACTGCTTAAGATGGTGCTTAGTGACTGAGAGATGTTTACAATCACTGGATAGTCTCTATATAAGTTGTGCTAGATGGAGATGTAAACAAAACTTAAGTTACTGCTTCAGGCGATAAGTCATCTTGAATTGCTTAAGCGTATGATAAAATCTTACAGGCTATAAACATTCTTTACTTGTATAAATATGTTTCATGCTGAATGAGTGTCTGTAAATATTTGTATAAAATGACAACGCATAGTTATCTTTAAATATTTTTAATGTATATTTTATCATGTTTATGGACAAATGAGGATGTGAATACAGATACTACAACATTTTATATTTTAAATGTAACCTTAATATTTAGAATACAGTTGTTATATTTTTCCACGATAATAATTCTTTAATCAAATAAAAATGTATCCTTGAGGTTATGTCTTGTATGATCATTCATTCATTCATTCATTCATTCATTCATTTATTCATTCATTCATTCATTCATTCATTCATTCATTCATCCATTCATTCATTCATTCATTCATTCATTCATTCATTCATTCATTCATTTATTTATTTATTTATTTATTTATTTATTTATTTATTTTGCAACTTATAACAAATGTTCAGTATCTGGGATATGGTTGCTAAACACAATAGCGATTGAGATAAAAAACAGTTTAAAGTTGATTATGTTATATTAGGACCATTGAATGTATCTTTTCTCTATAAAAACAAAACAGTATATATTACAGTTATCGTTGTTTAATCTGACAAATTTGAATGAATTTTAATCAATTATTTTGAAAAATGATATCTTATTGCTATTTGTTATGGAAAAAATGTGGTATGATCACCAGCTGGTAAAAGTGTGATACTATCTGACGGTCACTAGTATATCTGGCGAATATTGTATATCCCAAACATATGTTAACATATTCACAAACAGAATAAAAATGAATAGCAAGATTCGTGTTATCATCCATAGAATTTAACATTAAAATACAGCAATCTTTGTTGAAAGTAGTTGCGGGAAAACTATGTATAATCTGTAAGATGCCTTTGTCAATTAAGTTCAATGCCCAACCTTCAAACATATATAATTCGATTTAAATTGAAATGTGAAAATTAATGTATGTCTGCTGATTGATTTTTTCTTCTTTTTTTTCTCTTTTTATAAATAGCGAATAATGCCACTACTGATAGTGTGCTAAGAGTTTTTCCGTTACACCTGAAGTTGTTTATTTGACTGGTCTATAATTGTAAGTGTTTATTTACTCAATTAAATTCAATTGATTTTTTCATTGAAATCACCTTCCCTTCATGCAAATGTCATTATACTATTGTAATAAAGAAAAAAATATGAGAGAATGACAAGTGACGAAAATCTTATTGAACAACTTGGAAACAAAATTTACCACGCAAAGATTATTTTGTTAATTAAGCATGACCTTTACAGTTTATAAAGTTTATCCAGTTTTGTATTCATTTGAGTGACAATAATATTATTTATTTCATGCTTTCCAGTGTTTTATTGTAATATATTAGATGATTTTATTCTTAATATATTATAGTCCGGCTCACTAGTGAAATTTATAAAATATATTTTTCACTGAAGCCGGACTATATCTGAATGCAGATGAAAAGAAAATCATAACTAAATGGAATAACAGGCAGATATAAATTTAAATATTGCTTCTGGTGTTCACTCAGTAAAATTATATTTCAATCTTACATGTTAAACACACACATATCCTCTAATTCTTCATCATTTGTGTTTGATTCCTTTTAAATTATCACAGTCAAGCAAATAATGAAATTCATCACAAATTGCGTGTTTATTACGATGAAGCGGGGTTCTAAGTTTTCATTCAATGCCAAGATGGCGGCCCTTTTCTAAAGGGAGATGATGTTTTGTGGCTCATTAAAAAAAACAACATAATTTTTGGTATTAACAACATTTTTGAAAAGTAACAAATTACTAATATTCTGATTTATAAAATACTCAGAAAGGACCAGGTCATCAAAGGTGATCTTGACGAAGTTTATCCAAGGAAATTTACATATTTTATTAGATTGTAATGCGTTTAAGCAGTATTGTGCACTATTTTACTTATTTTGTCACTTCTAAATGACGAAAGATTTTAACAGTAGCAAAGCAATCTTGAGTGAATGTGTAAAGAAGTATGCCTCACCCCTTATTCGCCATAAATCATACAGTTCCGTGCAATATTTCAGGCACGAACGGGCACCCAAGTAGAACCATTCCGTTAGCTAGCTGGATAGCTTCCTCACATGAAAAGAAAAAAACAAACAAAGTCCCTGTCGGGATTCGAACCCACAGCGGTGAAGGTCAAGTGGTTTGAAGTCAACGGCT